AGGGACTGTCTGATGTTGGCTACTGCCAAGTGGAGATTGTGGCAAGATGGGGTAGGAACTGGGTATTAGGAAGTAACCGGAGCTCACGCTCCTGAGGCAGGGGCTGTGCTAGGCGGAGTTGTGGTGAACTGGGATGGGGGCTGGATATGGAGAAGTAACCGGAGCTCACGCTCCCGAGGCAGTGGGCAGTACTATGTGGAGCTGTGATAAGCTGGGGAAGGAACAGAATACAAGGAAGTAGCCGGAACACGTGCTCCTGAGGCAGGGGGCTGTGCCACGTGGGAGTGGGACGGCAGAGGACGAGTTCCCTTTGCTTAATCCCCTCCCTAAGTGCAACGTCAACCCCAGACACCTCCTTCCTGTGTCCTTCTTGACTTCCTGGGTCACGTACCTTCCCTTTGTGTAGCACTGACCCCAGACACCTCCTCCCGGTATCTGGGCCTGACTTCCTGGGTCACGTACTCTCCCTTTGTCTATGCACTAATCCCAGACGTCTCCTTCCTGTATCTGGTCCTAGCCTCCTGCGTCACTTCCTCTCCCTTGGTGCGCTAAACTCAGACATCCCCTTCTGGTATCTGATCCTACAATCAATGACTAGTAGGCGGGCTGAGGAGGAGGGGCTAACTAGGTACTTAAGGAACAATAGTGGTCGGGAGCTCGCTCTCTCTTTTGCTCCTGCTCTCTTGCTCTGGCCTTCCTGCTTGGCCTTGCTGTCTTTTCTCTTGAATATTCTCCCATTCCCTGTTTCCAGTGTCCTCTGCCTCACTCCCTGATTCTTCCTCACTACTGATTTCCGCTTCTTTCACTCTTTTATATACTTCTTTCCCTAGCACCTCCCGATCTGGGACCTTAACAACTTAAGGTTCCTTAAGTACCTACTTAGCCCCTCCTCCTCAGCCCGCCTACTAGTCATTGATTGTAGGATCAGATACCAGAAGGGGATGTCTGAGTTTAGCGCACCAAGGGAGAGGAAATGACGCAGGAGGCTAGGACCGGATACAGGAAGGAGGCCTCTGGGATTAGTGCATAGACAAAGGAGAGTACGTGACCTAGGAAGTCAGGCCCAGATACCGGGAGGAGGTGTCTGGGGTCAGTGCTACACAAAGGGAAAGTACGTGACCCAGGAAGTCAGGAAGTACACAGGAAGGAGGTGTCTGGGGTTGACGTTGCACTTAGGGAGGGGATTAAGCAAAGGGAACTCGTCCTCTGCCGTCCCACTCCCACGTGGCACAGCCCCCTGCCTCAGGAGCACGTGTTCCGGCTACTTCCTTGTATTCTGTTCCTTCCCCAGCTTATCACAGCTCCACATAGTACTGCCCACTGCCTCGGGAGCGTGAGCTCCGGTTACTTCTCCATATCCAGCCCCCATCCCAGTTCACCACAACTCCGCCTAGCACAGCCCCTGCCTCAGGAGCGTGAGCTCCGGTTATTTCCTAATACCCAGTTCCTACCCCATCTTGCCACAACCCCTACTTCGCAGTAGCCAACATCAGACAGTCCCTCACAGGATACAGACCTAATAGTGGTATTTCTGGATCAAAGAGTATGCGCAGTTTTATAGCCCTTTGGGCACAGTTCCAAAATGCTCTCCAGAATGGTTGCATCAGTTCACAACTCCACCAATAATGCGTTAGTGTTCCAGTTTTCCCACATCTTCTCCAACATTTATCATTTCCCTTTTCTCTCACATTAGCCAATTTGATAGGTGTGAAGTGTGCCAGTCTTATTTTGGCTGCTTTAGCTCTGTCTCTGCCTTGCCACTGCCCCACTGTCTTGGTGCTGACATTTCTTGCAAGAAGGTCAGACATTTTAAAGCAGGGTGTTTGAAATCTAAGAAGACCTGGCAACTCTAGGATGTTCTCACATACTCAAATGGACCTGTTATCTCATTTATTTGGATTTTCCCTCCAAAGGTGCTGATATAACTCTTTCATATTTGCTTATCCTGTGCCACTCTTGTACATGTGTTCCCATAAGTTTTACCCAACATACTGGGACCTTTCTTGCTTTCTCTTGACTTCGGGAAGAAATGAATAGAGCATGCAGACTTTCTATAGGTTATCGCTTTCTCTTTCTATGTGGCTTGCTCTTTTTTTTCATCCATACATTTATTTTTTTGTTGACAACCTTTACTCTAGTTTTCTTTCATACTTCCATATGTGTTATGTGTTCGCAGTCTTCTCACACTGACCATGCACCTCTCTATTGCCCTTTGATTGAAACTCATTTAATTCTTTGGAGACTGTAGTGTTCCATGACTCATAACCATATAACACCATCATTTGAATATTGATATAAAAATGAGGTTTTGTTTCTGGGCTTATTAAAGGATCTTTCCAATTTTCTGAAGGCAATCCATCTCACTGTCCTGTTTAATTTGGGGATCAACTCATTATCTAATTGTGGTGCCTGTCCAAGATATACTGATGAATTAGCCCTATACTAACTGCACATCATAATAAACATCCTTCATTTACTTGGTGTTTCCTTCCAGAATATATAAAGGAGTTTCTGTATGTCTTGAAAAAAGGAGAAATTGAGAATTTGTATGTATATGATACCACATGAGGTCCTGAACAAAGGAAAACAAATATAGAAGACTTTTGCCTTCTGGGAGCTTTATGGTTTATATCTTACCGAAATTTTACAAATGAAAAATAGACCCTTCTTTATGGATCATCCATAAATAAGAAATATTACAGCCATTATGAACACCTGCCTTTCTTACTCTGTGGAGTAAAGTTAACACTTATTGGGTATAAGGGTATTATTAACCTTCTGGTATTTTCATATTCAGTCAGGATAACCTTTGGTGAAGTACTGGAATCTGAGCAAAACAATTATGTCACCATTTGACTCTGGTCCAAGGAGGCCTAAATGCAGAATCTTTTATTAATATGGAAGAAAGTATTTGGGTCACTAATCTTTATCCAGTCTTTATTTCTCCCTTTCCTCTCCCCATCCCTTAGTGAATTAACAGGGTTTTCATCAATGACTAATTACATTACTCTGACCAACCCCTCCTCTTTTTCCATTTTCCCTTTCATTAGTCAGGCTCTCAAGCAGCATTTCCCAAATTAACTTGGCCATGGAACTGTTAGGTTTGACATATATTGATGAAATAGATAAATGTGTTTTATTAGGGTATGGAACACTTCTGGATCTAAAAGGCAATTGGGAAAATTTTGAAACGAAATAGAGAATATGAAACCTGTTTTTATAACAAAAATTACCATATATAAGAAATAATTTTGATACACAGATAATTCCCGTGAAATTTTTTCTCAGTGAACTTCTAATCATTCTGTATAGAGCTCCAATGTTTTATGGAACAAAGTTGGGAATTACAGAAATTAAGAAATGCTGCTATAAATAAATATGACAAAAAACCAAGTTGCATTTGTTCTCAGACATCAATCTGTTGTTTGGGTTATGGTGAATGATTATACCATTTTCTTGTCTGAGACTGAAATTTTCTGTAACTTTACCATTTCCCCCTTTTCTCATATAAAAAACTACAAAGTTTTCTAATTCTTTCCCCGTCTCTCTAAAAGCATATGACATATCAGGATATGGCACATTATTTTCTTGCTGGATAGATGGTTAACTCTGGGACCACTACCAGGTTAATAACTAGGCTCAATTTAAGCTGCATACATACCTTGAGCACATCTTAGTTACTAAAAAGGGCAGTCAGGAATCAGGAGGACTCCAATCCAAATGTTCTGTACCCCAGATCAGCAGTTATGACAAGTGAAGGACCATACCCCAATAAAACACATTTATCTGTTCCATCAATATATTTCAAGTCTAAGAGTTCCATGGCCAAGTTAATTTGGAAAATGTTACTTGAGAGCCTGACAAAAAAAAAGCTAGGAGAAAAGCTAGGACAGCAGAAGGTAGGAAAACCCAAACCAGTAATTGGGCAAGAGTAGCAAAGAGACCTTGATATTGAGGCTGTCTCCCTAAGCCAGAAAGTTTACGTGCCTATAAACTTTATATGCTTATCTGTTATCTTATCCCCTTCACTCATACACTTAAATTCTAGTCATATTAGTCACCTTCCCTTGATCTTGCTCTGCCTTGTTTTATTGGCATGCAATTTTTACACCCTGAAAAGTGTACCTGAAGTGAACTGCCCATAGATCTCTGCCTTTTGAAATTGTTTTCTTTTGAGACTCATCCCAGATGTCATCTCCTCTATGAAGAATTCTGTATCTTCTTGGCCAGAAGTGATCCCAGTTCCCTCAAATGTCTCATACTACCCTTTGACTTCTTCTATGTTCTGAAGTGTATTTTAACTTGTAGTAGAGTTAATTATGTACCTATGTCATTTCTCCAGATTGTAACCCCCTCAAGGGTATGAACTGTTTTGATTTTTTTTTTTTAATTTTTGTTACACTATTTAGCCTTCTAGCCTAATGGATCTTACATAATAATCACTTAATAAATATTTGTTGAATTGCATTGAATTGGTAATTTCTGAGACTGTGATATCTCCTAAGTGCTTATTATTATTATTACTTATTATTATTTTTTTCTGGGTAATTTAATTATTTTGTTAATAATGCCAGCATTTTAATAAAAGGTCAGTGACACTTTTGGATGCCAGGGAACTTATTGTTACTTTTTAGTCAAATGAATCAATACAGCCTTAGTGTATTAGGAAACAATTAACATGCTCAATTAAAAAAAAAGCTAATGTTATGATTAATTTTAACAGGCCAGTTGTATCCATTCAAAATTTTTGTCTGATAATGGAAGGATTTTGTGTGTGTGTGTGTGTGTGTGTGTGTGTGTGTTTCTTTTTTTTTATTGCCTATCTAAGTTAGAAACCTGAGCCCAGGATCTAAAGAAAATGGAGTGTGAAGGTATTCACATGCCATTTAGCTATCAATAAAGTGGTACCATTACTGGTATGCTTTCAGACTTACCACTTCTTATTTGCTAATTATTTATTGTTACACTGAGCACATATTGGTGTGTTTCCTTTTTCACAGATTCCTGTAGAAGTGGCCTTCATCTTGTCATTGTTGAATTTGGGGCCTTTTGGATCAGGACATACTTCAGTGCCAAGCAATGATACTACATTGAAAAAAAAAAGGTATTGCTGAATGTTGGAAGGCCTATTGCTTCATCTTTGTTTTAACCAGGTTTGTGTCTGTGATGTTGGATACTGATAATTTAATGGGCCTCTTCTGCCTAAATTCAGAGACACAGTGTGTGTTTATAAAAATCATAAGGATGGTGCTGGAAAGACTTCTTAGACACTTTTTCTTTCTGCCTTTATAATCTCAGGTGGCATTAAGGAGTTTAAAAATTTTGTTTCCTAATTTCTGATGCTGATCATTTGTTTCCTTTCACATGTGAGAGAACTGTGTTTGTACCTTAAGCCTTTTTCTTTGGGGAAGGGAATAATAGAATCTGTATTCACAGATGCCACTCCTATGCTACATGAGCAAAGGGTTTTTGTAGAGTCAGTACAAGGAAGGAAGGTTTCCTGATGCTTCTCTTACCTAGTCTCAGTCATTCACTATGATTACTCTTTTCTGATATCAGAGTATCCTGAGTAGCATCTCACTGTAACCAGAACAATCTATACTATAGAACTAGAGGAAATGTTCTCTTCCTGTGACTTTAATGTTCATTCACGCCTTTTCTATTATATATTACAGTACAAAGTCTAATGCAACAAATTTTGCATTAAATTGCAAGTTGAAATGCACTGTGGTGTAGTGGATGAAGAGTTGACTTTGGAGCCAGGAAGACCTGGGTTCAAGTTCTGCCCCTGACATCTAATGGCTCTAAGACTTTAACTTGCAGAAAAGGTGTTGACCTGCAATGATAGAGGTAATTTCCTCATCCAGCAATTCCCTGTATCAATGAAATTTCAGGTCCAGGCCTTATGCCTTGTAAGTTGAAAGAGAACACATGAGTTTAACTCTTGGCTTTGTTACTCAATAATCTTATATCTTTGGGCAAGTCATTTAATCTCACTGAGCATTGGATTCCTCAATCTGTGAAATGAAGGTGTGGACTACAAGACCACTAAGGGAATTTCTAGCTCCAAATCTTTGATCCTGTTATTCTTGGTGAGTTCAGAGATAGAGTCAATTTTCACTGATCTCCCACTAGATTGTATACTGATTCATATGTCAACAAAGAGATCACTAGACTTTATAAAAATTATAGAAGCATTACAAGTTAATGCAAGATGATGGAAAATATAGCATAATGGTTAAAACTACTAGAAATAATTGTAGGTGCCCAAGGCAACTTAAAATTTATTTTATTGGAGAAAAAAACAACTATTTTACTGCATTGACTGCATTTATTCCTTTGGGAAGAGGGAAAGGGGAGCATAGCAGGCAGGGTGATGGTGTTCTGGAAATTTCTGTGATCTGTAAAATTTATTTTGAAAGCTAGTAAAATCTGGTAAAATTATACTTATTTCAAAGCTGGTAAAATCTGGTAAAATTATACTTATTTTCAAAGCTGTTATAGTATGTCTTTCAGAATGGCCATTAATATAATGTAGGAATGGACTTGGATCATAATATAAAATATTCTAAAATTTCTTCCAACTTGGGATAGAAAATTATGGCTATTTTGTTTTTGCTCCCAATATAAGAATCTCTAATATAAGATCCTGTTAGGCTTATAAAGCCCTTCATAACCTGGTCCCTTCCCAACTTTCCAGCCCTCTTACACCTTAGTCCCTTCTGATATCCAGTGACACTGACCTCCTTTCTGTTTCTTGCACATGAGGGATGGTGGGCAAAGGAATAGGCATTTATATAGCACCTACCATGTGCTAGGCACTGTGCTAAGTGCTTTTACAGTTATCTCATCTGAGCCTCACAACAAGTGTCTTAGGATGGATTTGAACTCAGGTCTTCCTGACTCCAGACCCAGCACCCTATCCACTATACCACCAGCTTTACACATGACATTCCATCTCCTAACGTTACATTTTTGCTTGCTGTCCTTCATAGTTGAAACCCTTTTCCTCCTTATCTCTGTCTCCTACTTTTCCTGGCTTCCTTCAAGTCTCAGATAAAATCCCACCTTTTACAAAAAGTCTTTCCTGGTCCTCAATGCTAAAGTCTTCTCTCTGTTGATTATCTCTAATTTATCCTGTCCATATCTTGTCAGTACATGATTATTTGCATATTTTCCCTCAATGGTCTGTGAGCTCCTTGAGAGGATGGACTATTTTTTGCTTGACTTTCCCAGAACTTAAAACCATGCCTGACTTGTAGATGCTAAATAAATGCTTGTTGACTTGGTCATTCAATTCAGCAAACATTTATTAAGTTATTCTGTACAAAGCACCTCTGCTGTAAAGTGCTAGGCACTTCTGGTACATTAATAAATAACAGTCAGAGATCTGTGATTTTGTTGGTGTGGGAATTCCTTTCACCAATACAGATTGAAACCTGTCTATAACATTGTGAATATGTATTAAGGAATTACCCATGCTTACAAAACTAGTTAGTATCAGAAGTGGGATTTGAACCCAGGTCTCCAAGTTCAGCACTTTACCCATTATACCATACTGCCCAGGGGTGAGGTTCAAATGAGATACAGGCAAAGTGTTATAAAGCCCTTTGCAAACCATAAAGCTCTATATAAATGCTAATTATTATTATTAGCAGTTTGGTCTCCCATCTGGTGATGGGTTCATTGCCTGAACCTTCTTGCTGAGCTCAGGCAATGTTTATAGAGCAATGCAAGGGTATACTGGAAAGTGTTCAACAACTTTCTATAGGGAAAAAGTATTTTTTTTTCCAGCTCTCTGGGGGAAAAATATATGCACACACTTTTAAGTTTGATCTATGTTACTGACACTCTCTTTGCTCTAGATGATCATCAAAACAATAGATTAGGAGCAGATTTCTGAAGTTTAAATTCTCACACTGAAATTTAACACTGGCTCTAGAGTTGGCTTCAGAATACTTCTGATAGTGCTTCTCTTGGAACTTGGGGTACAAAGACAAAAATGAAACAGCCCTTACCCTCAAGGAGATTTCTTTCTACTGGGTCATGGATTCTTTTTTTTTTTTTTTTTTTTTTTGGGGGGGAAAGGGGGGGTAAGTTTCTTGCCCAAGGTCACACAGCTAGTAAGTGTCAAGTGTTTGGTCTAAGGCTGGATTTGAACTCAGGTCCTCCTGACTTCAGGGCCGGTGCTCTATGCACTGTGCCACCTAGCTGCCCCCTGGGTCATGGATTCTTAACCAAGGTCCAAATACATACATTTCAGGGGATCTGTGAACTTGGAACTTTTAATATTTTCATAACTGTGTTTCCCTATAACTGGTATCTGTTGTGATTGTGTGTGTTTTTTTTTATGCTTTTAAAAACATTATAGTAGTCATTGGGCTTACCAGCTTGCCAAAGGCATAAAGGACACAAAAAAGTATCTACCCTGTACTAGGTGGATGTAGCTTGTGCACAGTTCAGTAGGTCCAAGATAATTTGAGGAGGGTGAGGCAGCACTAACACCAGGGTGTATCAGGAAAAACTTATCATTGGAGGCTGCACCTGAGTTGAGTCTGTGATTTTGTCATTCTGTGAAATGTTGTAATTTATTACCTTTGGTTGCTAGATGAAACTAACTCTGCTAACTGCTGTATTCGTCTTTCCAAGAAGATTCTGTTAACTATCCTAGCATTTAGTTATATTTTCTCTCTACTTCTGGTTTCACTTAAAGTGAGAATGTCAGTATTGATGCTGTTCATTTCCTCCAGTATTCCAACTGAGTTAAATGTTTATAAGGGATAGGGGCAGATGAGGACACTCCTACCAATGCAAGCAGACCCCTTCTCTCCATCTTAGACTGTCAGAGAATTGCCCTGACCAAGTGTCACAGGTGGAACTTGTTCCTGCAGTTCCTGGTCCTGAGATCAACTTTCTATTCATTAGGTCATACTGCCTCTCAAATGTTTATGTTATTCAGTCTAAAAATTATGATTTGTGTGCCCTTTTCTTGCCACTCTTATTATTGTCATTTCAGAACTACAGTACTGAGGGCCATCCTGTTGTTTGTTGGGTTCCCATGGACAAAGAATTTATGGCAGTGGCCAACTCATTTATGATGAGCTTTTCTATCTTTAGATAGATGAGTCTTTAGAAAGTGACATGTAGATTGTTCCTGGAGGTGTATTTGAATTTTTCTAGCTTGGTAGCATCTTTCAGAGCCTGTACTCCTCTGGTGTAGTCTTCAAGAATCCCTGGTCACTTCTATGCCATGAAGAAATATTGGTAGTAGGACTTTTGAAATGGTCTTCTTTAATACATTTAAAATATGATTCCCCTCCCCACCCCTGGAAGATTTCACTTGCACCTGACTTGTAAGGAATCTACCTATTGTGTAAAGCAAGGCACATGATTATAGGGCAAACATCCTCCTGTACATTATGTTCTAATACATACTGGGTTATTATACCTACTGTATGTTCTTATACTTATTATAATAATGATAAAATAGTTGACGTCATTGGATTAAAAACCCTATCTTTAAAGCAGACTATTTCCTGAGTCTCTTTATTTAATGAATTACTTAGAATCTTGAAATTCTTGAAAGATGGTCTAAGGACCAATTCCACAATGCAGCTAGTTTCAATATTAATGTGAAATAAATAAATAAATAAAATTTAAAAAAAATAAAAATGTGAAAGGGTGAATGCTAGTTATACAGTAGCCCACCTTTGTTAAGGCCTCTGGATGTTGCAACAGATACATACATACACCTTTTAGTATAAATGTACTGTGGATAATCCATTATGAACTAAAAGGTAAAACAAACAATATGCCGTCTCTGCCTGTGTTTACAGAATGTTGCCTTCATTAAGTGCTTTTTCCTGATAAGTAAAGTTTTGACTTGTTCACAGTATTGTGCAGCATCTAATAATCATTCTTTATACTTTATAGTTTAGACCCTTAAGCAGCTGTCATTGATTGTATGATTGGAGAACTTTAAACATTTGTAAGGAACAGGTGTTACATATTCTCTTGTCTTTGAAATATGGACCCTAGTCAATAAAAATATTTGAACATGTCATGAAAAATTAATTATCAGTTTAAGCCTTGAAATCTTTATATTGTATGCTTAATCATGTGATAAAACTGTTAAAGGGATTTGCTGGGGAAA